GTTACGAGCCAACTTAATATTTTGCAAACCCGTTCTTATTTTATATAGTGGAGCAGAACCCACGCGCTATCACCTAGCATCGATTTGTTGCGTTCTTTCCATACGCAATTGCGGAGGACGGTGTTCATAGCTTCATATTGGTACGTACTAAGTTCTCTCCTTTTCTCAATGTGTAATTTTTGTGATTTAAAAAAAAAAAAAGCCCGTTTTTTTCCAAGGGGGGGAAAAAGAAAAAAAATGTGATATCATCATAGAGAGCATCAGCAAATTTCGGATCAAAAATCTCAACGCCGTGATGACCGCCGTCAATGAACTGCTTTACCACGTGCACACCACGTGTCTCCAGCATCTTGGCGAATTCTTTCTGCCTGTCGACCAACGGGTCGCCGGAGTACCCTCTCACCACACTCGCCGGCAGCCGTCCGATCTTCTCCCCGCCGGCTGCCGACGCATCGCAGTACTCGTGCCCTCGATCGGCGCCCTCCGGCAACGCCAGCGACCACAGGAGATCCGCCGCATGCAAGGGGCACACCTTATCGTCGAGGTGTTTGAGCTCCGATTCGGTCCGCCGCACCCCGCCGAAGAACGGCTGGTTCATTATCAGCCCCGCGATTTTCGCGGGTCGGATATCCAGATCCAGCGCCCGTAGGGCGGCGCGGTACACCATGTTTCCACCGGCGCTGCTGCCCATCAGGAAAACCCTAGAAAAATCGGCGTACTCCTCCACCCAGGGATCGCCGCCCGACGCTTGTGCCTTAACCCACGCGACGGCGTCCATCGCGTCGTCGTACGCCGCCGGGAGGCGGTGCTCCGGCGCCAGCCGGTACTCGACGGAGGCAATCAGGGCGGGGAACCGCGCCGCCATAGAATTGCACGACTGGTGGAAAAAGAAGGACGTGGCGCTCAACAGCACAAATCCGCCGCCGTGGAAATAAACGACGAGCGGCAGCTTGGTCCCCGGAGGAATGCTCCGGGGGCGGAAGATGCGGATGAAGGTGTTGTTAGCAGGGTTGAGTTGCACGTCTCTGGAGAGAGCGACGGTGGGGCTGTCATCATCCGGGTCGGACTCTGGAGAAGCGGGTAGGGTTGGAACCTGGTTCAGCCTTGTGAGTGAGCCATCCGAGTTGGGTGAGAGATTCAAGAACTTGTAGGCATCTTCCATTGATGGAATTGATTTTCCGATTTGAACCTGATCACACATTTCAGATAAAAAATAATTGAGGAAATATTTTTTTTTTGAGCTGTAATGAAATAGAACAGCTGTGCCTCCATTGTTAAGGGAATAGGTTATTTATTTTCGGTGTCTCATTAATTGATACTCTAATTCTAGCAATTACATATATTATTTAATTAATAAAAAAACATTGTATTATAATATTTTTAGGGTCCATTTGGATGGAGGGATTTGGGGAGGAATTTGATTTGGGAAATGGATTTGAAATGACTCCAATTTTGGAGTCATTTGAAATCCATCATTATTGCTCCATAATCAACTAAAAATGAGGGGTGGGGATTTGAAATCTATCTCCAAATCCCTCAATCCAAACAAGTCCGAGGGATTTGTTATTATGAATTTGAAATCCCTCCCCCAAATCCCTCCATCCAAATGCACCCTTAAAGTTTTGATTTTCAACTTCTCCATGTAAATACTATGTTGCACGGACACTTCTTGGAGGTGAAGAGTTCCCGTATCCGATACCTGGACACTTGGACACGCCCAGACCCACTCGAACGTCTGTGTGAGGTCGTGTCGTAATTTCGCTAAAAGTAGAACACACGTGTCGAGCAGTGTCCGTAATTTTTAAAAAACTTGGACACGGCTCTTATGTTTTATGAGAAAAACCTAATAAAAAATATGCATTTTCTTTTCTTTGTAACACATATTTCCTCTGTCTTCTTTGAAAGTCCACCCAAAAGTCCAAAACTCTTAGGACAACGGCGACCAAGAACACGAGCAGCAAGGGCACAACTCTCTTATGCGATTTGGCGACTTATAAATATATTATTACAATTTATAAATGTCTCCCTATATTTTTATAATTTACAAATATACCCCTATATGTTTATATTTACGTGTATCCTAGTGTCTCCGTATTCTAGTTTTTTTAGAAATAACGTATTACCGTGTCCGGATCTACATATCGCAGTGTCCGTGCGTGCAGCATAGTGTAAATACCATATATTTTATTTTCTGTTTATTTAATTTAAAATAGTTGAAGATGAAATAACAAACATTAAAGCGCCGGGATTGATATATATTAAATATTTGAAATCTAGAAAATGTGATTATTAAATATTGTGTTGACTTTTAATCCAACGGGACAAGTGACAGTGACACTTCTGAATTCTGATCAATGCGCGACTATGGTAGAGCCAGACTCTTTAACTTGCAATGAATTATATTTTGGGAATAGTCTTCATGTTGTAAATATGGGTTCAAATTAAATTTGCATATATGAATTGTAAAAAAATAAAAAAGAGGGTTTGTTTGGCAAATGTGGGCCAAACTTCCGTTAATGGGCTTGGGCCCATATGGATGAATTAACTGAAAAGGCCCGATAAACAACCCGCCACGAGCTCGTCGTACCAAAGCTTGTTGGACCATAGCTCGTGGCATATTGAGCTCGCCGCCTACTAGAGACAAACTTGTTTTAACATGAAGACGAGGGAGTTGTTTCGAGGAGCGCACAGGACATCGAAAACTATTGGAGAAGAAGATACGGGAGATGCGACCTAAAGATGGGAAATATTCATTGTTGAGTCTTCTATATAAGCGAATCGAACAATCAATAATAACATTTCATACCCTCTTCTCGAATTCTCACTTCTTATTTAATGTTTTCCGTTCATTGTTTCACCGTCGTCGGCCCGGCCCGAGATTCGACATCAGGTATGGTCCGACGATCGAAGGGAGTAGGGCTTGAAGAGAGGTCTTGAGGGTGTAGATCCTACACCATTACCACCTAGTGGATTTGAATTTGGAATACACAATTTATAGGTGGGGATAAATACACATACAGGCTCTTACGTGTTTACCTAAAAAGCACATTCAATCATATATATATATATATATATTTCAATGTGGGCAATTGACACACTCAATTTTGAGGACGAAAAATGTATTTAAAGTATTTATCTTTGATTATAATTGTGTAATGTTTTCAGATGTATATAAATAACTGAATGTGGGCTTAAGCCCATTTCAATTCTTCATACTAACCGAAATAACTGGATTCAATATTTGCTTCTATTATTCTTTGTAACTTCAAACTCATGGTCTATCTGTGTGTGCGTGTGTGTGTGTGTATTTGTGTGTGTGAGAGAGAGAAAGAGATCTAGAGAGAGAGAGAGAGAGGCAAAAATGGGTGTGTATCTGGCTTTGATTGATTCATGAGACTAAAAATGTATGAAGAATCAAAATAACAATCATAGCAAAAGGGGCAGGCACACCATGTGTTAGCCTGACTTCAATCATCTTATTATCATTATCATTATTATTATATTATTATTATTATTATAAATTTTACTTTTTGGAGTGACCTTAATTTGGATGTTCACTTTTGTGCATTTCCATTAGTCATGTCAAGAAAGCACTCAAAAGAAAGATGGAATATCACTGCAGCCACTTCAATTTTCAAATGATTATACAGACATGACATGTAAGACAGTGCATAGTTAAATGGTAGTTGTAATTACACAAACAAAAGAAGTTTTTTTTTCGTAATTTAACCTTAACCAAGGAGAGCTCGTAATTCGGCTTATCTGTAAATTATACACATCCACAAAAACTACTACCCAATGTAGTCTACTGAAATTAATACCTTTTTTGAACTATCACAGCTATAACTCTTTTTAATTAAGGCAGCAGACAAGAGAGAAAAGGCAAAGAATAATAAAGCTAGTGGCACAAAATCAATCAAGAGCAATTATTTGTCATTTGACATTACATCTATAACTTTTATGCATGGGATTCCTAACTATATTTCAAACCCACTTTTCTGTGCTTCATCATTTCCAAACAGATCAAACAAAAAGGATAATAATTCAAGACACCAAGATTATACTCATGAAAAGAAAAAGGCATTAAATTTAATTTAATTTAATTAAAAAAAAAAAACGAAAAAAAAAACTCACCGAGCCTTTCTCCGTGACTTGAACGGAAAGTTGGAAGGCGGCGAAGGAGAGAACTCGAAAGGCAAGTGTGGCGGCTCCGATTCACCGGAGAGCATCCCCACGATATCTTTCATGGAGGGGCGTTTAATAGGCGATCTCTGCAAGCAGAGAAGTGCAACGGTGATGCACATCAACGCTTGCTCCCGATCCAACGATTCAATATTCGAATCCACGAGATCCAAGAGCCGCCCGCTCATTGCCAGCTGGCGTGCCCACGAGATCAAATTCGCCCGTTCGAATTCCGACATTGGAGAAGCCATCACTTGCAATGGCCTTCGCCCGGACACCATAACCAACAAAAGAACACCAAAGCTGTACACGTCGCACTTGTCTGAAACCTCCGCTCCACCGCCATACTCCGGTGCTATATAACAAACGGTTCCTCTCATACTCGGTGTACTACTAATACCCCCACTCTTGGGAATTTCACCGTTATTATTATTACTATTACCAAAATCTTGACTATTTCTTCTCCCTAATCGAAATTCGCCGCTGAAACCCTCGATCCAACGGTCAATGCTGCTTCCCCTGCTTCTCCTCCTCTTTCTCTCCGGCGGCACCACCGCGTCGTCATCCTTCTGCCACCACAATTCTCCGGCGGCGGCGGCACCACCACCACCACCCCTTTTCTTCTTCTTTTTCTTGGCAAGCTCTTCGCAGAACTCTTCCTTCCACCACTCCCTCGGTTTCCGATTATTCCTTTTCTCCTTCCTCATCGCCTCCCTATCGAGCGATGCCCACCACTCCAGCTTCTTCTTCCCCTGTTTCTTTTGCTCCTCGGATACAGAACCTTCTTCGATCGAACTCGTGGACTTGATCCAATTATCCTTCTTGGGCCTCTCCTTGTTAATCTCGCTCCCAATCCACTCCATTACGTAATCCTTGACCCTACCCGAATCAGATAACCCGCCCACATTCTCTTGCTTCCACCACCAATCCCTACCGGATTCGCTCTTACCCCTTCCCCCAATTACTTTCCGATTCCCACTATCCACACTGATTCGATCCGAAGCACTGCCTTCCTTCTCCAAACACTCCAATGGAGATGCCTCCACATCAATTATCCTCACACAACAAGTATCCGGTGATTGGTCCACACTCACAACCACAGCATCCTCCGTTACATAGCTTTCGGTTTCCTCGATAATTGATACGTAATCGCCCCCTTTCTTCTCCTCCTCATCCTCTTCAACAAACATCTCCACAGTCTCCTCCAATTTGGTCAGCACCTGAGCCAGCCCGAAATCAGCAATTTTGGCTTCGAAATTGCAATCGAGCAATATATTTGACGGTTTGACATCTCCATGAACAATAGGCGGATCACATGAAAAATGCAGATAATCGAGCCCCCTTGCATAGAGTTATGATTGCAAACCTCTTATCCATACCATTAATTC